TCCCCGCGCGGGGACCACAGAGTTTGGGGCTCGGGCAGGGGGGCAGAGAGATGCAGACCCCTGCCAGGATTGTAATTACAGCCCGGCCAGGGCCCTTGCACACGAAACCCGAGCTCCGTGGGGAGCAGGGGAAGCAGAAGCGTCCGTCTGCTGGCACAGGTGTTTGTCCTGGCCCTGCTCCATCTGGGATGGATGTGAGGAATTGGGATCTTGAGTCCTCCTGGCCCTCATCTCCCCTGTCCTTGGCTCTCTGTGGACTGTGAAACTGAGCTGAGCCGTGGGGCTCAGAAGGGAAAATTCCCAGCCAAGGGTTTTTTGGGACCGGGTGCCCTTGGGGGAGTTGGGTTTCAAATCTCCCCTTTGCTCCCACCTTTATTCCTCGATGTGTCCGAAAGCGCAGACAGCAGCACCCCGTGGTCCTGGGCTGCACAGGGATGCTTGGGGCAGCACAGCAGAGCTCCAGCTCCATTGCTGGGTCACTGCAGGGCTCCAACATGGGCATAAACCATCTCAAATGAGTCCCCACAGGACCCTGTGTCCCCATCTCCGCCACCTCCCCTGCTTTCCCAGTGCCACCCGCCATCCCTGGTCACCTCCTATTGCCTCTGCATAAGGATGCAGCCAGGGAGCTTTTGGGGCTCGGAGGCAGCTCTCCTCCCACGGGGCCATAGTCCCACCAGCCTGACCCGTTTTCTTCCCCTCAGGTGACAGCTATGGGGTGCTGCCCCGGCCCTGCCGCGCGCTGGTTTTTGCTGAACCCGCAGAGCGGTGCTGGCCGCGCACGCGATGACTTCTACGCTGTGGTGCAGCCCATGCTGGCAGACGCCGACATCGCCACCACCCTCTTCATCACTGGTGAGGCCCTCATCTCCTCCTCCTCCCTTCCTGTGGTCCTATCTGGGTGCTGCCAGCCCAGAATGGGCTCCTCCGAGTGCCTTGTAACCCCCCATCACCACAGGTCTGGCTCCTGTGGGCTTAGTTTGGAGACCCTGGTGGGTGGCTGTCACAGGCAGTGGTAGCAAAGGGTATGAGGGGACACAGTTGCACTAAGTAGGGGTGACTGCCTCTCCTCCTGCCTTCGTGGGGACAGTGGGGCTGGGGTCACCATCTGAGGAGTGGCAGCAGCAGGGCAGAGGGATGGAGGGCAATACTTGATGGTCTCCAATCTCCCCCCACAGAAAGACCCCACCACGCACATGAGAAGGTGCGGGATGAGGACCTGTCGCAGTGGGACGTGTTGGTGATCATGTCTGGAGATGGGCTGCTGTATGAGGTGAGGGACACCCCAGGGCATGCCCCTGCCCCCAGCCAGGATGGGCACAGAGCCTGGAGGAGAAGCATGCTGGGGGCAGGAGCCAAACTTTGAGACATGAAGGCAGGCAGAGATGGCAGAAATAACAACCAGCTTGGAGCTGGCAGCCACAGCCTCATCTTGCCATGGCTGGGGGCACCATGGGCTCTACTCCCCCTGGGCTGGGCAGGGGCCGCTGGGTTCCTTGCCTGGCCCCGGGTACCATCAGTTCCCTCGATCCCTGCAGGTGGTGAATGGGATCATGGAGCGGCCGGACTGGGAGGACACATTGAAGAAGCCACTGTGCATCTTGCCGGGGGGCTCCGGGAACGCGCTGGCCGCCTCCATCAACCACTATGCAGGGTGAGCCCTGGCACCAGCCGCCGGCACCGCACACAGGGCTGTGCTGCCACTAGGACAGGGGATGAGGAGGGAGGTCCCAGCAGTGACACAGGGGCGAGGGTTGCACGTGGATGCTGGGCCAGCAGGAGAGGCCCAAGCTGGGTCCAGCCCAAACTCACCCTTCTCCATCCCTCGCAGCAACGATGACGTCGCCAAGAAGAAGCTGCTGACGAACTGCACATTCATCCTGTGCAAGGGCCTGCACACGCAGATGGACCTGGTCTCGCTGAGCACGGCCTCGGGCAAGC